TGGGATGGTAGGGAAGTGAGAATCAAATATCTTGAAAACTGAAAATATGTTTTTAAGTTTTGCCTAACCTGGTAAGGAGAAAGCAACAACTCTCCAATTTAAGAAATGGTATAGAGCAGGGCTGTCAAACTCCTGGCCCATGGCCATGCTCACACCCTGTTTAGCAAAGGGGGGGGAGTCCCAATACATCATGTGATGCTGCCGAGACATGAGTTTGACACCTCTGGTATAGTGAGATTATCTGGGGTGAATTTGCAACTTTAGCTTGAAGAGAACATAAGAATGAAATTACTCCCGTGATCCCTTCCTGAAGACCTAATCTATAGGATTAGCACTTGCGTGATGTCTCATGGTACCCGTTTCATTTTTATACAGGTAGTCCTCAATTTAAGACTGCAATTGGGAATGGAATTTTTGTTGTAAGTTATGATGGTTTGTAAGTCAAAATATCCACTTGACCATACCTAATTTTACAACTGTTAAGATGGCAGTTAAGCAAATCATGTGGTCATAAGTGCGAAGTTATTTTCCTGCATGGGTGGGTTTTTTTTTGCCAGAAACCAGCAAAAACATTGCAAATTGCTATCACAGGACCACAAAACATAGCAACCAACTATAAATCTGACCCAATTGCCAAGCACCTGAAATGTGGCAATGTGAGTCTGGAAAAGCAATGGTGTGATATTTTACCACAACCGCTTTATGGGTCATAAAACAATCTTTCTGAGGCTATCATAACTTCAAATTGTTGTTAAATAATTGGTCATAAATCAAGGACTGCCTATATCTGCTTTGACCAAACAGATACATGCTTCTAGAAAAGGCTTTATTTCCGTTAAAGTCTTAGCAACCGTTGGTAAGAAAAATTCAGCAGCCTGAGAGAAACCCAATTTAGGTGCCTTTAAAAGAAAACTAGAGGATCAGATGCAGAATAGGGCTATCAAAATCTAACATCTTTAAATGGCTTCAAAAGTCTAGTTCCAGAATCAGATAGAAATTACCTAAAATATCAAGACAACAGCTATGATTCTTGTGTTGTCCTTATATTTGAGGGGCTGCCATAGAGAGGAGGTGGGGTCAACCTATTTTCCAAAGCACCTGAAGGCCAGACATGGGATAATGGATAGAAACATATCAACTTATTCAACTTACAAATAAGGAGAAATTTTTTGACGGAACAATCAACCAATGGAACAGCTTGCTTTCAGAAGTTGTGGGAGATTCATCACTGGAAGCTTTCAAGAAGAAACTGGACTGCCATCTGTCAGAAATGGTGTAGGATCTCCTGCTGGGTGGTGGGGCGGTGGACTAGATCAGCGGTCACCAACTGGTGAGCCTTGAGAAAATTTTGGTGGGCTGCAGAGAAATCTCACCCCCAGAGCACCCTCCCCACAAGCAATTAATCCAGGCTGTGCAGAAACACAAGGCTGTGCTGCCACATGGCCCGCAGGAATGCTCCCCACCCACTCACTCCTTACCCGGCAAACTTACCTGCTAAAATTGCTATTTTTCTTTTTTCTGACCATCATCTGTTCTGCTGTGCTGGGAGATTTAGATTAGCTAGGAGGCAGGAAATGGTTAGATTAATTGCTTTCTAGCTAGTCTTTAGATCTTCAGCTCTGCTTCCCTTAGGACTGAAGGTTTGCTTGTAAGCAAATTCAGTGCAGACTCATGGCAAGCAAATTTGAGAGACTGAGCTAGCCGATGGCAGATAGATCACTGAATGATTCTGTGAGCAACTCAACCTGCCTGCTTTGCCTGATTTTGGGTAAAAATTACTCTTTTTTATAAAAAATTCAGTATTTACATACATGGTGTGTTGTAAGTTAATTTTGTGAGTTTGCTTGCTAGCAAATTTTATGAGTTTGCTTGCAAGCAAATTTTATGTGACAGACTGAGCTAGCCAATGGCAGATAGATAGATCTCTGAATGAATTTGTGATTCTGTGTGCAACTCAATCTGCGTGCTTGCTTTACCTGATTTTGGGTAAAAGTTGCTTTTTATAAAAAATTCAATATTTATATAAATATTTATAATATTTACATACAAGCCATGCCCAGCCAGTCACATGACAAAGCCACACCCACAAATTAGGCCACACCCACAGAACCGGTTAGTGGGTCCCTGGGATTTAAAATTATGAGTTTGGTGGTCCCAGAGGTCCAAAAGGTTGGCAACCCCTGGACTTGATGACCTACAAGGTCCCTTCCTATTCGGTTATTTACTTATGCATTTCCCAGATGCATCTTATTGGCTTTTATATGACAAAAAGTGCTGACTGAAGTAGGTCTGCTCCAGCAGAACTTTTTTTCCTTTCCAGAGTTTAATAAAGAGCCATACGGTCTGGAGTCTGGACCGTATGTGATCTGTCACTGAATTTGATCTGGTTGCTCCAGTTGAAAGAAATGGGTGTTCTCAGGAAGACAGTCAACATCTGGATAGGCCATTAATATGAAGAAGTCTGTTTCTTTCAACTTGTCAAACCATATCCTTGCTGAAAAAGATAAAACACTGAAACATGCTTGTCAACCATTCTTTAAACTATCTGAATCACAAGAAAAACATTTAAATATGCATGAATATTTTGATAGGATTGTATTTTACATGAAAAAAAGATGAAAATGAAGCAAATACTACAAAGTAATCTTATTCTGCAACAGTTATAAGGGCGAAGAACAGTTGTGACATTTTTCAGTGATAGAATAACTTTGGTCTCTAAACGAACTGTTGTAAGTTGAGGACTATTCAGAGATAAAAATTTAGTAAGTTAGGAAAAGTGTGCCAAACGAGACCTCTGATATTTGTTCTTAACCCTTAATAAGTGTCTCTGGGTCATATGACTGTGAATGGCCCAGAATGAAACAGTCATCAATTTCTGAGCCCTTGCCCAACAAATCTGTCCCCAAAAGAATATTTTTTTCCGAACTTTTTTTGTGTTTAAAAATCTCGATCTTTCCTGTCCCACCAAAACTGACAAGAGTTAATAAACACTTCTTTGATCTCAACTACTTACGATCAACTGGACTTCACTCCAACATATGACAGTGATCTATAAGAAATTGTATAGTATGCTGCTGAGGGTCAGATGCCGTCAGCTGGAGAAGGAAAACATCACAAAACATCACAGTCAATTGACTTACATCACAAATATTCAAGTCTCACTCACAGGCTGGAGTCAAGATGAAAACACATAAGAGTATAGTAGGAAAATAGTTGTGGCATGACTCTTCCATGGTTAAGACCAGAAGAGGAAAGTTTCTCAACTCCATTGTTTTCCACCAGTGTTTTTCAATCCCCTGAACCTAAAGACGTGTGTGGACTTTAACTCCCAGAATTGAAGCTGAAATCCACATATCCTAAATGCTAGCTGGAGAATTCTAGAAGTTGTAATCCACACATCTTAAAAGTTGCTGAGATTATAAAAGACTGGTCTACACACAGCCTCTGGCATTTATACCCAGCATATCCAGAGGTTGGGGATTTGGAAACAAATGAACACCACATTAGGAATGCTTGCAAGGACTTTAGTATTCTTTCAGTCACTCCTTAGAAATGCATGCCAACATTTAGCAGCCTCCTCAATTCTAACTTCCTGTAGAATTGAGAAACGCCTCTCAACCCCACGTGGGGAGAGGAGAAAAAAAAAAAAGCTGGTTACTTGAATGAAAATCGGAATGCAAGACAGGAATGCATGCTCAGGATAGGAAACTCAACTAGCGTAGGGAAATATTACATAACGATATAAGAGCGTCCTGCTCTCATCCCAGATCAAAGACACCGCTTACTTAATCATCCCGGCTGGTTGACATTGCACCATTCGTCTTCAGCAGCAAAGCAACTTTTGGCTGAATTAACTTGATTCCAGCTGGGCAGCCCTGGCTTCCGCGCAAGATACAGATTTCTAGAATAGTAGCTTGTGTAACAGAAGGGGAAGGAGTCACTCACGTCCCAAGGGTGAGAAAATCTTCCCAGCTTTGGACAAAAGGGAAGGACTTCAAGAGACAATGCGGTGGTGTTTTTTTTTTTTTTTTTTTTGCAAAACTTTGCTCCACTATTCCAGACTTCCCGTTCACTCACCCCCACCCTCGGGTACATGAAGTACTCAGCCGCTTCAAAGTCTCAAGAGCCCCCCACTCCCACTCCGGAGAAGAGCGGGTGCGTGTTGAATTGTGCAGAACACGATATCCCTCCGCTTCCACCGTGCAACACTTCCAACAACATCACATACACACACACAAAACCGAGGGAAGGGCGAACTATTTTCAGGAAACGAGTTGTAGAAATCAATTGGCCGTCCAGGAAGGGAGCGGGGATTATTGTCCTTTCCCTTCTCATTTTTGGCCTCCATAAAATTACCCCCCCTTTTTTTTTTGAGAGAGAGAGAGAGAGAGAGAGAGAGAATTCTTGCAGTGTCGGCAGGCGGGAGACTCAAGAACCGGAGAGCCTTCGCAAACTGATAATCCCAGATTGATCGGCGGAGCAGACTCGGTCTCACGGCTCCTCTTAAGCTCCTCCCTGTGGAAGTCGGCTCGGGGCCCGATCCGTGCGGGCCTTCAAAGCCTTTAGTAAGGGGTGGGGGAGGTGGGCGCTTAGAGCAGTGCACTTTACTCAAGACCACTCCACGAACTAAAAACTCCATGCCGGAGATACAATACTGAGCTTTGCCCGGCGGGAGGGGGGGGGGAAACACAGGTCGCTATCCCTTCAAGCATGTTGGTTGCATGTGCTTGGGGAACGGAAAGGAGCTCTCTTCCCCGCCCGTCGACGGCTCTCCGCTACCAAATACAGTGGATCAGCTAAGGGAACGAAGCTAAGTGGTTTGTAGCACTTTTTGGGAGCGAGCGAAGGGGGGTCGTTGTGTGCGACCGAAGCAGGCCGGGGCTGCTCCCTCCGCCCACCCACCCCTCCTCTCACCACCCCCACCGCCGACGGTCTGCAGCCGAGGGTTCATGCCGCTCCCCTGACAGCAGCTTCCCGATCGGCCCTTTGGCCAAGACTCTGAGATCGCCTTTGGCCTCCCGGCCTTGGCGGCGGAAGGAGCTTAAAGTCAACGCTTCCGCCCAGTTCTCCCGAAGGAGGGGGCTGGGGAAAGGGCCGCGGTTCCTTCTGGGGGTTGGGGCGCCGTGGTTAAAGTTGCTTTTCCTTCTGCTCCGGAGAGGGGACGAGAGTCCTGCTCTTTCGTCCGCTTGGCTTCTTCCTTCTCAACCACCAGCTGCTGGTGACGCATCCGCCCTCCCTCGTCTCCGGGCTGCTTTAAAATACACCCTCCCCCCCCTTCTTTTTTTTTCCACCTTCCCTCCTCCTTCCCTCTTCCTCTCGCTCCGGGCTGAATTAGTTCCTCTCCCAGTGTGGCGTCTGCTTGCTCCCAGAGCTCGTTTCTTCTTCTTTTTTCGCGCGCTCTGCGATTTGGGGCCGCCGGTTCCTGTTTGTGGAGTCTGGAGGAATTTCGGTGACTCTCCTTTTCCTTTCTGGCAGCAAGAGAGGGAAGGGCAACGGCGGCGGAGGCCAGTGTGCGGATGAAGGACCTGCTGCAGGAGCGGGCAATGTGGGCTTCTGTCCGGGTGCAGCTGCAGCTCCACAAGGACCTTGGTCGGGAGCTGCGCTGCAGCTGAGCGAAGGGGCTCCGCTCGTCACCGCCGCCGCCGGGATCGGCGACGGTCAACCTTTTCCAAGCGGGGGGAAAAAAAGAAAAAGCAGAAGCTGCGATCTGTGCCGCTGACGCCCCCTCCACCCCCTTGCAAAAGCCAGTCTGAGTCTCCGGAGGAAGGCTGCTGTTTTAACACACACACACACACACACACACCACTCAAGGATTGAGGCCATTCTGGAGAAAGGGTGCGAAGGGGGGCTAGATCTGGGGTTTAACAATGGTGGGGCTTCTGGTGAGCTCCTGCTGCGCCCTGGCCGCATCGGTGCTGCTCCATCCCGGTTTGGGATCTCGGTGAGGAAAAAATGAACGAAGAGACGGCGAATTCTAACCAAGAGTAAGTTGCCTTTCATCTCTACTGAATGGGTTGATTAAGAGGACGGTCCCTTTCCCTGGGGCCCCCCCCCCCCCCCCGTTGCCCTGCAGCTTTTCTCTAGCCGAAATGCTTGTCTTTTGCCTAATTATCTATAGGAAATCTCGTTTTATTCCCTTGCTTTGGAAAGTCACGGCAGTCTGGGATATGGCGGGAGGAGGTGGTGGTGGTGGGGGGAGATGTTTATGCTTATCCCGGATTAGCAATGGCCTATACTCCGCCTCTTGATTAACCTTTTTTTTTTCATGTGTATGTTTTATATTTCGAGTAAAGTGTGGGAGCTGCTTCATCCTGTAGGAAACTGGCCCTGAATTTTAATTGGATGAGTCAGTCAGTATAACTATTGTTAAACCTTCCCCTGAAGCTTACTTTTATAATGAGCTGTTAAGACTTTTCCTCCATGAACTAGAAATTGGAATAAAGAGGATGCTTCACATATTTACAATAATCGATTTCTAATAGGAAGTAAGCCCCTTTGGGTTCATTCCCAGATGAGCTGTTTTAGGATTTGTAGCATTCGTGGGTTTGCAGAATGGCAATTTTCAAAACATTTGTTGCAAGCAAAGTGAAACATCTTTATTATAAATGGAAAGCAAGCTAGCCTTGTTACAGATCCTGAACTTTCCCAATTCTTTTAGGCAATGAACAATGTTGACATTACCTATGACGCCTACATTTTTAATAGTTACTGTTATTTTAAGGAATGAATAACAATATTTATTGGATATACTTTGAATTATGACAAAAGCATTCCCCCCCCCAAATGTCTGCGGTAATTAAATGTTAGACATAATTCTTGGGTTTGGGTGGGGTAGAGACACTTGTCACTTGCAGATGCCCTTCCAAATAAAACAATAATCCTTTAAGATGTGTTGGTCAGAACCTTGTTCTTTTGTTATGTGCTTTATTCTTAAACTAAAACGTCAGTGGATGAACCTAGACTGCAATAGACAAAGTACAAAACATTTGTACCCAGTCACTTGATAAGGTGAAGTGTTGCAATACTGCTAGAACGGCGAGGGAAGCAGCCGCCGCCGCCATATTTTCTTTTTTTGTGAATTGTTCTAATTTGCATACCACAGTTTTCATTCATAAAAAAATAATTAAACCTTCGCCACGTTTGCCATTGCGGGTCCTGCTTGACAGGGAGTGGACCTTTCGTAGAAAGGTTAAAAAAAGATTAATCGGTACAAGAGTTAGGATTCTCTGGTTTCTTGTGTTGAAAAATGCTGCTTCTCTAGTTGTTGACACTGTTATGTGGGAAATATCAGCTCGGGAAGTGCTGAGAGCACGTGATCCACTCCATTCATAAAATACCTGGCTGGCCATTCACAATGCAGTGCACTGTCTACATGGAGCAATTTCCAGATCAAACCTGATTTTTTTTTTTTTTTTTGAGGAAGATAATACATCTTACAATGTATATCAGCATTACTTTTCTGGCAAATGCATAGAAAAGTAGCATGCTTTGAAAAGAAAATTTAAGGGAATTTCAGTAAAAACGGTAATGACACTGGGGATTGCTGCTTTTTATTTTAAAGTGCAGAATATTCCAGTATATGCTTCACTTTTAAGATATAGCACATCTAACAGTAGTTGTAAATGAAGGACAAATGGTTGCATGAAAGTTGTTACATGAAACACAATTGAGAATTAAAAAGCTTGATTGCAATTCTTGTAGCTCTTGGCATATACATTGTACATATACAATTGTACATATACAATCTGCTTTAATTTCAGAAATTTTAATATATTTGGCAATGAAATTTTAATTTAATAAATAGTTGTGTCAATTGTCAGTGAAGCATTTTCAATCAGCAGGAATGTTATAAGCATAAATCTTTTGACCAACACTTGAAATTCTGGGATAGAAAAACGATTATAATGTAAAATATGTTGTTGAAAATTTTTTTAGTTTGTGGCACATTCATTATTCTTTTGTTCTTACAACAGAATATATTATAGTTAAAAGTGCTATACTGTTAGCTGATATTCCACCCATATTTAACAGACTGCTTTTTTTCCTGAAATGTGGTAACCAATTATTTAGTTAACGTTAATTCATATAAATTTTGTATTAAAAAGCTCATATTCTATTGAATTGCACAAGTCCACACTTCGTTATTAAAATATAGATCTTCAGTAATATTAATTAATATTTAACACTCTAATAGGCACAGTCTAGCAGAATTGGGTTCTAATATAATAGAAGTGTATGTGTGCACATACACATACACACTTCCTCCAAAGAATTTGCCATGAACAGCCAGTAATATTTTCCAGTGAGCATATTTTTTATTTTTACTTTTCTGGCTATGTATTTATAGTTATATGAGTTTTTTTTAAAAAAAACAACAACAGAGAACTGCAAGAGCATTTTACTCAGCCAGAGAAAGCATTTTATGGTTGAATAATGCTGTGCATTATGTGAACAGAATTGACAAATACTTGCTAATTCAAGCTTGCATTGTTTGTGTTTAAACATCCAGATCATAGCAATGATTTTTTTTTAAAAAAATACTGCTTTCTTTAAAGGGTCATATTACTGGCATTTTTCATAGTATTCGGCCATTGGATTAATCAGAAGCTAATATTTTTTCATAAGCACAGATCAAGTAAATGCTTTTTGCTTATGAAGTTAAAATTGTATTATTTATTCTGAATAATTGATGTTGTGAAGGCCATTTTAGGAAACGTATTTTAAATTATAGATCCATCTTAGCATATCCTTTACCTAGTTTCTTTTTAGTTTTCACTTGAAGCTGTCCCAAAGTACCATTCTAATTCAGAGTTTATTCCTAAAAACCATTTTATTGGCAAAGTATAGTATTCTTAGGTTATGAATGAAAGGCTAAAATTGTAACTATTTCCCCCCTATTCTTTTAGCAAAAATCCTGAAACTTACTGTTTTATTGTCTTGTTCTCACATAAACCTGGTTGCAGTACAGTTAATCATATACAGTTGACAGTTAGTGAAAGGACTTTCATTTCGATCGAATTTGCTCTCTAACTTTGCATGTGCCAGAAAGACTGACTTTATTATTAAGGGTCAGAAATGCTTTGTTAATGTTATTTGGGGAAGATTTGGCTGAAAATCACGCAAGGGTAAATGAAAGAACTAAATATCTTAAAATGAGGACAGCTATTTGAATTGCTCTGTTGTAGGTTGGAACTAATGTAGCTTTGCCAGCTGCATATGTGATGGCCTACATATATGCTTCTTGATTTTACGATCCAGCTTTTATTATGACATGACTTTCAAGGGATGCTTATTGTACATTTACAGAAGAACTAAAATGTTGATATTGCAGACATTTCATTGATAATGAAATTTAATTGACATTTTGTGTGTGTTAAAATATAAAGATTTGCGTACTTAATAAAGTTCTTTCAATAATAAATAGCAGCATGTATCCATATAACTATTTGCATTTTATGGAGACAGAAGTTACTTAACATTGGTGTCCATTTCATATATTGATAACTATGTTTATACTTATACCTGTTATCTTATAATCGCTTGACAAAATAAATAAATAAACTCGGTATATTTATTTATTTATGTTGATTGACTGTCCATCTTACCAAAGAATAATTCTGGGCGGCTTACAGTCATAAAAATATATCTATACATATACATTTTAAAAAAACAAACATTAAAATCTAAGGAAATGTATAAGCCTAATATATTAAGAAAACTCAAACTTTATGGTATCTATTGTTAATGCATTATACTGTTAATGCATTATATTGTTAATGCATATTGATATCTTCAGTAACATAGTTTACTTAATAAGTTGCAAAAAGAACATTTGCAATGAAAAGAGCATGAAAATTAGAAAAGAGAAGTAAAAGATAAGTAGCACTAAAATCAGCATAAGCCGAAGGAAAAAATAAATGAAAAAAATAAATATTAGCTTGAAATAAGGAAACGGAGACAATAAATTGAAAGTTATAAATGGTATCAATACATGTCATTTCATGTAGTAATTATTGTAAAGGAACATTTATATTAGATGTGATACATTTTAAAATTTTAAACATCTCTGTAAATATTTAATTGAAATAAACCCTGCTGAAATTACCATTGTACTATGTTGTAAACTTTTTTGCACCTAAATACACACAATTTTAAGAATATTTGGTATTTATAGTTCAGCTACAAGATGAAAACAGTGACATTCCTACATAAACCCCATTTATTTTTACTATTTTATTTTTGAAATGTGCTTTCCTTACATTATGGTAGCCCTCGAAACCCCTCCCAGACTTTACATGGGATCATTTTTTTCTGATATTGGTAGGAGTCTTATGAGTATCTTCTATAAAGGTATAAAAAAGGAAATAGTAACAACCGCATTTAAATATTTTTTCTTTTTTTAAAATGGAATACAGTAGCTAGAGTGGTGACATTACCCAGTATGGTTTCAATTGCTGTGGAAGACGCAATTCCAAACATTCTTACAACACTGAATATTGTAAAATTTACTTTTGAATATTGATAGGACTATGCATCAACCACAATTGAGCCCAAAAGTTATGTTGCTAAGAGAAACAGTTGTTAAGTGAGTTTGCTCCATTTTATGACTTTTCTTCCCATATTTGTTAAGTGAATCATTGCATATCTTAAGTTAATAACATGGTTGTTAAGTGAATCTGAATTCCCCATTGACTTTGCTTGTCAGAAGGTCACAAAAGCTGATCACATGACCCCAGGACATTGTAACTATCATAAATATGAACCACTTGCTAAGCATCTGAATTTTGATCATGTGACCATGGGGATGCTGCAATGGTCGAAAGGGTTAAAAATGGTCATAAGTCACTTTTTTCAGTGCTGTTGTAACTTTGAACAGTCACTAAATGAACTATTATATGTCAAAGACTACCTGTATAAATAAAGGACTGATTAGAGTCAAATGAAAGTGAATTCAAATCTTTATCAAGTCAAGTTTACTGTAATT